AATAATATTCAGTATATCTAACTATTTTGTTCGTATTCCCGCAGGCAAAGTATCAACAAAGCTTACATTATATAAATGTAGTGCAATATACAGACTGTTTAGCTTATGATGATCAGCAGCCCTATGAGCTCATTCTCTCAGTGTATCATCAGGAATACAGAGACACACACATCCTTTAAATAAGAGTTTTTAAATTAAATGATAGGTTAAGAATAAACATCTTAAAGTAAATAACAATAAACAATAGCCCTTAACCCTGTAAGGCCCCCGGTTGTAATTTTACAACATTACTTTAAGCTATCCTAAAAAAGTCAGTAAATGTTTTTTGTTTTTTTAAATACATTTACATAGTCAAAAGGTCCTTTTGTTCAGCCTCACAATGCTATTGGGTAGTAAATGTGTTATAGGTCCTGCCCTCTGGCCATACACGCCAGAGGTTTTGGGCCCCATGAAAATATATCACATTGGGCCACGCCAACCAAGCACAATTGCTGTAACCACACCTCCAGAACCCAACCCACTAATTTATGCTTTAAATAACTCTACCTGTACAGGCTTGCATCTATCTTGTAGTCCAATACTAACCGCACAATATTTACTGACACTGAGTCGTGAAAATATAACACTTATGGGGGGACAGGGCTGCTAAGTCTAGAAATGGATCTGTTGGTCCTGGCACCAGGGGGAGGGACAACTGATTTAGTATGAATAGCTGCTAAATATGTACCTGCATTTACTAAATGTCAGCTAAAAGAAGAGTGAAATTAAAAACCTGTATAGATATTAACATTACTTAATGTCAGCTTACTAAAAAAAAACATAACAATTATTATTTACAATGGACTACGCTTAGCTAACAGACACATTTCCACCACTCATAGACCACACCCACCTTTTCTTTGAAAAACTGGGTGACATACTGTCGCCCTTCAGTCCCTCTCTCTTGTCTTTCTCTCCTTTCTTTTCTCTTTTGAAAGCCTGACTTTGTTAGTCGTTGAGACATGGCACACACGTAAATACTAGCATCCCTGCTCCTAACATGCTCTCACTCTCTGCTAGAAAGTGCCGGCGGTGCTGCACCATGTTTGGAGGCAGGACCAAACCATTACATGTAAATAGAAAGGGGTGTACAGAGGCTTTGGATAATTAACTTTTGGAAGAAAATAAGTTAAATGAATTGTAAGTTTAGTGAGTACATTATCAATATAACGTCCTATTAATGTTAATTCTTGATGAATGATGAAAGGTTACTTAAACATTTTTTGGGGGGTGGCCATGGCCACCCCCCAGCTCCTCCACTGCTCTCCCTGCCATTCCCCCAATCATCCAATCCCTCCCCTCTCTGGCTGAAAGACCCTTTGTCAAGTGCTGTATTCAATCCTCATCATTCTGACACACAAGGCCTGTATTTATTATATATTTGAGAAGCTGGATTTGTACAGTCTGACAGGCAGAGGGTAAACAGCAGTCACGGAAGCATCCGGAACGCGAAACAAGCTTGGTTATTAACCTCAAGTGGGGCGACCGGAGGAAGCCAGGAGAGAATTCGATTTTAAACAAAAAAATGACGGAAACAGTTTTGCTGGGAATGCGTGTTTGTGCTTGTGGGTTGAAGCAACAGCCAATGTGTGCATTCTCATTTCACTCCCACGCTTGTAAAAGTTCACAACCTGCCCCCGACGCATGTATATACATACATTACACATGTAGACTCACAGAAGCATTTTAAAAGCCGGCTCTTTTGGCAGTTCTTATGTATTTTGCCTATCCAGCGTTTGCATCCCTTGAGTCTGCAAAAGTAGAACTCTTTATAAATGTTTCCAATATTACGACAAAATCACAAAGATAAATCCGTGAGTCCAAACACAACCCTTACCCTATCCCACTCAGCCCATCCCACTATCCGTCGCCTTTCCCAGTTGATCTTCGGCACCCATTCCATTCTCTGTCCCGGGGGTCTCTTCCGGTCTTTTCTTTTCCCCTTGGATAACCTCACTCTCACGTCTTCTCGCCCAACACTGTAGGTAATGGGCTGGTTTTGACCCTCCATGCCTCATTGTGTAAGATTTCAGCTTCTGACCTTAAAAAATGAAAGCAAATCGATAGGGCGGGACACATGAATTCCAAAGCCCAGGATGCTAGCCAAGCCTGGAGCCCAGGGAGGAGAAGAAAGAGGAGTAGGGCTGTTTGTATTACTGAAGAGCTAAAAGAAAGAAAGCCAAAGAAAAAGAGAGGGGTTTTCAATTAACCTTCAGCGCTGACAGCAACTTTGTGTAGCGTCTCGTTCTTGTGCTGGTGAAATTGTACGTGTCGCATGGTATGTTAAGTACTGTTTGTAATGTCAGCTATACAGTGGACAAGGGGAAAAGACAACAACAAGGGGAGGGGAGGGGGACCTGATGTGAAAGCCTCAAAGAGGAGTTTTGAACTGCAGCTGTGCACATTCCTATGACTTTGAGTGGGAGAAAATAACTCCCATTGAGCACTCAAGAGATTAAGATTCTTCTGTTCTATTGCCACTGCACGGAAACGTGAGTGACTGGAGACTAATGCTGCATTTTCATTTCAGTGTGAGCAGTGTGTTAAGCAGTGGGAGGCACAATCTGCATAAGGAGTGTGTGTGTCTGTGTTTGGCGATGAAAGTTAAAGACTGGAACCCAGACTTGAGTCAGACTTCAAGTCAAATGTTCAGGCTTGAAGTTTTCGCTTGTTGTAATGAAGTAACTTGAGAAGGCGATTGATGAAAAATGTATGTTAATTAAAAATCAAAAGTGGAGAGCGAACAGTAAACCGTGCATAAAGAGAGGCAACACATTCTGGCCAGATCTGAACTAGGCATTGTGTGTGCATACTTTGTTGAAATTTGAGTTCTTTGAACTTTATTTGTGTCACACTCACACGCACATCTGTAAAGTTTCTCGACTGCATCTTGCACGGTTTGCCAAGCAATTGCTGTGAAAAGAAACACACACGGACGGACATACGGACACCTGGTAAAGTATTCTTTGTGATATTTCCTGATACAGGAGCGACGCTGGTAAATAGCAGGCCTTACACAACATTAAATGATTAGTCTTATTCGAAAGGAAAGAGTTAAGAACCGTCTGAGATGTGTAAGTAAATCACAATAGAAAGCAAAATAGTTAAATGTCAAGGCATTCTCATCATTCTTCACAGACTTTCCTCATGATTTTGACTTGTCTAATGACCACCTGTGACCTGACATGGACTGCAGTCTAGGACTCCACTTGAGATCTTTCACAGATTACTTGAAAGTTCAGTGGAAGTTGCCCTTAAGGATTTCAAAGCTCTGGCGATGGTGTGCTGTGACTGTTGTTGGCTTCCGTGTGGAAAAGGTGTTTCTGTGTCATCACGTGTATGCGTGTGAGTGCACAAACACAGATGTGTGTACAGTAGTGTGCGTCCGGCACAGCGAGTGGCAGCCCATCAGTTCCACTTAGCTCAGCCTGGTAATTGGCCATCCATTGATGGACGTGGCTCACTCTTCACGCTCCAGGGACCCCGGCTCTTTGTCTGGGGAGTGGGAGGCAACACGCTGGCATGGCACACACGCTTAAAATAGCGCATCAAATCAACCATGCTTCAGCAGCCGCTGCTAACGTGTGGGGCGGATTGGAGGGCTAATGGGGTGTGTGTGTGTGGTGTGTGTGTGTGTGGGTGTGTGTTGTGTGTGTGTGTGTGTGTGTGTGTGTGTGTGTGTGTGTGTGTGTGTGTGTGTGTGTGTGTGTGTGTGTGTGTGTGTGTGTGTGTGTGTGTGTGTGTGTGTGTGTGTGTGTGTGTGTGTGTGTGTGTGTGTGTGTGTGTGTGTGTGTCTACGGCATGGTATGGGGTCTTTAGGTTCTCTCTGGGGAGGATAAGGGGTTAACTGGAGCTGGTGGTGGTATTTAGTCATGCTCCCCTCTCTGCCTGACCATCTTTTTTTTCATTTGACCGTTTCATCCATCACTCACTCAGTGTGCATCACCTCTTTTTCTCTACTAGTCTTTCTCCCCCCCTCTCTCTCTCTTTCCGCTCATGCCCACAGGGTCCTCCTTCTCTCTTCCTGTCACTATATGCAGTGTCCCCACAATAGAGATATAAATGGAGTGTGAGCAGCACCTACACCATAAATCTACACAACAGCACACGAGGAGAGCAGAGGAGGGGAAAGAGAGAAGAAAAATAAAGGGAATCACACATCTGAACAATTTGAATACATTTCAGTAGATTGAAATTATGCTGGAAAAAAAGAGGTTGATATAAAGATGTTTATGAAATAGGCTGGAGAGGATTACTGCGTGAAGATACCACACCCTTGGAGGTATCAATTGTTTTACAGTGTAATGGAATTGGTATTGAGGGTATGAATAGTTAGCAGGAAGTTGCCATCATTTCAATCAGTTCTAAGCTGCTGGAGGCCTTATGAACCCTAATTTCAGAGAATCTCCTTGGTGAAATGTTTAATTAAAATAAAAAATGTAGAAATGTTTCCACTCTTGACTCCGGCTTTTGTCAAGAAAAAGGCCTGCTCTCTCACTGAATTTCAGATGCAATTCATTGCAATAATATATGTACAAAGGTGACAATAATTGAAAGTAAAAGTGTCATCTCAAATGTCATTGTGCAGACCTTCTTCACATGAGAATGTTTTGCCCTTAATGTGTTATTTAGGGTTGAGGTTAGGAGTTTATTTTTCTTAGAATGTTTACTCATTCATATTATCTGCTGCTCAGTTCACCTCTTAGTGATCATTTCCTCTTAGCCTCGCAGCCGCCCTTAAATGTCTAACCTCACAATTTCAATGACAATGAACTGGAAGTGCCTGCTGTTTCTTCAAAATACATTTTCCATTCCTTATCACACTTTCATCTCCTGTCTTATGTAATATGTTTCCCAACCTACCTCTGTGTTTTTCAATCTTTAACCTATCATCCCAAGATGAAATCCATTTTGTATCAGTTTAAGTTAAATCTTTCCTCTCTTTGCTTCTCTTTTCTCAGCAGCCCTATGCTCCTCCCCCTCATCCGATGGCTCCTCCCAGCCCCAGCACCAACAGCTGCAGCCAGGGAGGGGCGGAGCAGCTGAGTAAGACCAACCTGTACATCCGAGGCCTGCCACCTGGGACCACCGACCAGGACCTCATCAAACTCTGCCAACCGTGAGTACACTGAAATACAGATGTTCTATTCACACTGAGGGGTGTAATCGGCCATGATGTACTGCTCGTGGCTGTATGTGTTTCACCAAGTGTACAGTATTCCTCTTTATAATACTCCAACTCCCTACTTATAATACATGTCATCCATTTCTATTTAATCAGTGTGAAAACGTTGTGTTTATATATTAAGCCCTACATATATTCTATGTTAATGAAATGGAGAATCGTTCCAGCATTTTCCTCTGCTGGAAACTTAATATTGCATATAATGATCAAGTACAAAAGTTAAATCTTTTTTATATATATAGAGGTACTAATTTAATATGCCCTCTTTAAGAGCATTTGATAGAGGCAATTTCTCAGGCTAAAAATGATAAAGATGTTTCACGTGGAGGGGAAACTTTTAAGTGCTTGTCCCAGAGTCTCAATGAGTCAAATGGGGAGCTTACCCGGACACGATCAGATTTCAGTAATTAGCTGAATTAATAGCTGCCAGACCGGACTAAAAATACATTGTCTGGAGGTAGTTGTACTTGGACAAGATGGAAAACCAATTTTCATTTGGAGCGTTTAAGTATAGCTTTGATTAAAGTGCAGCAAACTATAAAGCTAACAACCAAGTCAAATGTCCTAATGGGAAAGGACGCCGCTAAAAGACCATTATTCTATGCAAGCCACCAAAATGAAACTTAAGAAAAATGTTGGAAAATGTGTGATAGTGTAAGTTCAACTCAAATTATATATGACATAGGTCAATGTGGACATGGCTGCAGCATACTTACTGTAGACTTAACCTACTTATGTTGTTTTTGTAAACAGGCCCTTGTATGTAAACACAAATAACACATTAAAGCTTTTCAATGCCAATCTGATCAAACTACAACGTTTACCTTGACAGAAAATGACAGGCATGTAAGAAGAGCCATGTACAATACCCCATTAAACTGCTACCAACAGAGTGTATTTTAAGGACAATCACAAAGGTGCTCATGAAGCTCTGCCAAATGTTCTTGATAGAGAAAACACACACACACATGCCTACACACAGCTCAATAAGGCCTAATAAAGCTAAGATTGAACCACCTCCCCCAGGAATCACAGACCAAGACCTCATCAAGCTGTAACACAGTCATAGGGGGCTTTCTTACTCTAAGTGTCTCAGTATCTCTTACACACACACACACACACACACACACACACACACACACACACACACACACACACACACACACACACACACACACACACACACACACACACACACACACACACACACACACACACACACACACACACACACACACACACACACACACACACACACACACTACACACACACACACACACACATATACACACACACACACACACACACACATATACACACACACACACACACACACACACACATACACACATACACACACACACACACACACACACACACACACACACACACACACACACACACACAAGCAGCTTTGTTCGGCTCCATTAGGCCCTTCCACTTCTAAAATGGTAAAAAGGGGGTCAAGATCATTAATGGAGACAAGGCCAGTAGATTGTGAAATGCAGGCCATGAGCGAGTCTGTCTGGTTGCATAACCTTTTCTTGGCCATATTTCCAGAAATGTCCTGGTCAAACGCAGTCAATCATTCAATGATCCTTTGGAGACGGGAACAAGCTGTCCGGTATATTTGGTAATACTCTCGGTAGCCGTGTCATAAGTCATGCATTTATTCTTGATACTGACCCATCAAAATTCCATTAGCCTGAGAGGCGGCCCGATAAGATTTGGAAAAGCACTCAGCATTTTGACATCGCATATCTCTCGCTTAGCTCTTGCGTTCACCCAGTTGTACATAGTTGGACAGTTTCAATTTCATTTCTAATTCCATATGATCTTGAATATTTTGAGCATAACTATTCGGAAGGGCAAACCTTGTCGAAGCTTATGTAAAGCACCCCGGTAGTGTGCATGTTTGTGACTGTAGATTTGCATTCTAATATACGGCTTTTCTCCTGTGTTATGGAAAGCCACTGACTTTGACTGTTATTGCTGGAATCTGCCTTGCTGTCCTCTAGTGGCTGTGCTCTTGTTCAACCGTTTCCAATACTCGCCTCTCTACTTATATCTCCCCGCCTTCCCTCTGTGTGTATCGCCTGCTTAAGAGCCTCCAAGGTTGCCCGAGGTGCTGTGCCAGTGAAAATCCAATGCCACTGAAACTTTAATTAGCCAGACTGTGTTTCAGTGGCAGGCGGATGGCAGAGTTCCAAAAAAGGTCATGCGACTTTTCTGCAGTCTGCTGCATCCTGGGTCCCCCCTAGGTTTCTCCCTCGATGGCCAGTCCTCCCCCAGCACTCAGCTCCTCTCTGATGGGGCAGAGAAGCAGAATTTATCGTCCTGGTTCACCACTATCTCAAATGCTGCTGTCCAACTGATGAATTTTTGACAACGGGCCATATCATAGCTGCTGATTGGAGGTTGTTGCACACCGCATGAGAAGTGCCAAGAAAATAAATGCCGTCTACTGTGGCTGAAACCCTATCCTTGTGAACTATAATATTTCATTGCCTCAATCCTGTCACAATTTCAGTAACCCCCGTCAAAGTTCACAGTTCACTTAAAACACAGAAGTTTAAATATTTTGGTTAAAACAAATACATCAAATCCGTTTATTAAGCATTTGCTCATTTTTATCAGTGTTGATATGAAGTAGTGATTATCAACTTCAAAAGATCTCTACCATTGAAGACATTTAAAGTTGTTAATCAACAACCACTTCCTGTTCTAAGTTGTATTTGTTCTAGTTGTGCATGCACAATGACAAAGCATACACGCTCTGTTTAATGTTTCACTTAGAAAAAACAGGGGACAAACCCTATTACCCATTATTACACATTCAAGCTCTATTAAGTCTTAATTAGTATTGGTTGGAGATAAATTATAACGCTATTAATGTTGTGTTTTAAATAGTCTTAGTCATTGGTAATACACTTGAATACACTTAAATTACTAATGCCAAGATTTTTTTAATAAACAAAGTAACTATTGTTTTTTGAATACTATGTTTGTCTTTTTATTTTTCTATGCAAATCCAATATAAATGACGTAAACGTGAGCATTTAATTAAAAAACCTTGCTTATATGGTTTGTAACTATTTGTACCCACCCAACAATGTATCAGGTATTAACAGGGGAAGCTATCACACAATTTGATTGATAAGAAGAATCGTTGAAGGAATATGCATTGATACAGTCTTATTAATCCCCATTCCTAATGATGGGTACAAATACTCTAAACAAATAAAATAAAAAAACCTCATGATGCTGACTTTTGCATGACGCCTGCAGATGTGATGTGATGACATTTTTAAAACAGACTTTTCAACAGACTTACACAACCTGGTAGGAATACCTTAAATTGCAGACATGCAAACATGCAGTTAACAAGTGAATATGCGTTTGTTTGAGTTGCCATGGCCAACATTTCTTTGTTACAAGCTTCCTCCTTCAACCTCCCTGCGGTCACTGGGAGAAACGGTAAAGGCTGAAGAACACCAAAGTTCTCAGTGGTTGGAGTTCCATGCCGTGAGCTGTTGAACGAGTAATTAAATGGATTCGGGTGGGTGCTTAATCTCTTTTTTATTCAGCTGGCTGGATGTTGGGTTCTCCACAGCCGTCAGCCTGATATATGGGTGTAGAGAACAGGCCAAAGGAGTGGGGATTTGTTGGCTAAACACCCAGATAGTGAGAGGCCTTCCCACTTGCCTGGCGGGCTGTATGACTGGGTGGATGGATGGATGGATGGATAGAACAGCCGTTACTGTGAGAAAAAATCCTTGGCCTAACCAGCCAGGTTGAGGCACTGAGCCAACCCTAAGCCCAACTCAAACCCCATCCAACCCAAAGATCATGGCAGCCAGCTCTTCCAACGCAGCCAACAAAGCCTTCAAACACTTTAGGGCAGAGCAGACTTCATATCCTGATTGTCTAACAAGCTTTAAAGCAGCACCCACATTTTTTCCTGTTAGCAATCCACCACCCAGGAGAGGCATAGAGAGGACGGAAGCAGGTTGTTGGATGGACGGTTGAAAGGAAGAATGAGAGGGATTTCTTTTTAGTCTTTACGAGGACCAACACCTGGGATAACAGGGACAAAGAAGTTCACATTTTCTCTGCCAGCAGCACACATCCATAAATCAAACTGCCAAGAAAGCAAAGGACCCTAGAGATCCTCAAACCCTCGCTCCTCCTCTTCTTCCTCTTCAACCCTACCTCCTCTTATGATTCCTCCTTTCCCCTCCGCCTTCTTCTTCTGGTTTTCCTCAAGCAATTCCTGTCATGGCCGGGCCACAGCTGCGCCCCTCAGTTGCCCTGGCTTTTGCTTCCATGCCACTATTTGATCAAACGAAAAGTGTGAGCCAAATCAAGAGCTCATCACCACCAATTGTCCAAATAACCTTTCCCGTGTGTGCTGAGGGAATGGTGGAAGGGGAGCTGGAGAGGAGAGAAAGAGCCATAAGGTATGCTAAGTAGAGGAGGTGAAGGGAAGAGAAGGGAGAGGTGACCCTGGGACCACCTGTTTTTATGGAGCAGAGGCCCGGGCATTCAGCAGCACCACATTATACGTAATGACTCTCTGAGGTCCAGTGTTGACATTAGCCGCCAAGCTATCAGAGCCAACCTGTCCCAAGGCTCTGTTTCAAAAACTGACAGCACTAAGAAGAATTATTAGCAGAAACGCTCCAGTCCAGCATCAGAGACCCACATTTTCCATCACCCCTTCCACCAGTAGAACCTCACGAGAGATATAAACGAGCAAGTATTATTTAACAATTTGAGTTTTTAAAACTCAGTACATGTTTTGGTCACGGTACCTTTTTACATTTTTTGTTTCACTGGTTATTGTATTAACTCTGCAGTGTGTCAGTCACCACTGATTTCTCCCAGATAAAAGAGAAACATTCAGACACTCCTTTGAAAGCCTGGAGTTAAA